GTGGTCAGGTACTGGGGTGTGAGGTAGTGGACACGGTCATGTACTGAGGGATTAGGTAGTGGATGTGGTCAGGTACTGGGGTGTTAGGTAGTGGACGTGGTCATGTACTGAGGGATGAGGTAGTGGACGTGGTCAGGTACTGGGGTGATGAGGTAGTGGACGTGATCAGGTATTGGGGTGTGAGGTAGTAGACATGGTCATGTACTGAGGGATGAGGTAGTGGACGTGGTCAGGTACTGAGGACTGAGATGCAGAGATGAATTGGTGGGGAGTTGAGAGCAGTTAATGTGGTGATGGACTTGAAGGACTGTGGTTGTGAGATACTGGGGAGATGGCTGGTATTGGGGGTGATGGGGTAGTAGGGTAGTAGACTGGGGTACACTGGCTTCTCTAGGGTTCTTGAACGACTAGGAATGCATATGACCCGTAAGTGAATGCCACGGTGCCCTGAGGCCGACCCAGCATGCCGGGGGCCATGGGAAGGGGTGTATCTGGACCACAAGGAGCCCCTGGGCTACTTCTGTGTCTGGGTTCCTGCGGTGAGGGTACCAGGCTGAGGATGAGTGGGGTAACCCATAACAGAAGGCTGGGTACCAGGCTTACCAGGACCATGGGGTAGCTGTGGATGTTTGTACAGGATAACCGGGTAGGTAAATAGCAAGGGAGTCACTGGGCTGAGGGGTTGAGTGTGGGGGCCTCCTGCTCTGTGGCACCAGGGACAGCCTGGGAAAGCGAGGCCCTGTCTGGACTCTGCATCTGGCTCACACGCTGCCTTGAGGGCTGGCCTCTGGGTGTGGGTTCTAGACTCTCCAGCCCACTCAGACCCTGCCTTGAGGGCTCGCGGAGGGATCGGGCATGGCTTTCCGCACACACACAACTGGTGGGACCAGTGGGGAGGCGGAGGAGGTGAGGGCTCCTGGCGTGTAGGTTGGTTGAGGGTCCCAAGCCTTGGGCTCTACACTAGGTAGATAGAGGTGACATCTGCCTCAAATCCTGGGCTGCTAAACTGGTTCCCTTCCTGCCTCATCAGTGCACAGGTAGGACCTCTGTCTCCTCCGCAGACCTTTCCAGATGCCTGGAGCTGAGTTCAACCCCAGGCACCCTCCCGGGGGGTCCAGCAGTTTCTAGTTATTCTGAGGACGTTAGGGGTCACATTCAGCTTTATTCCCACAGGCTTCTGTGTTAGGATTGGCTGATGGCTTTTCATGGTAAACTGTCTTGAAAAGCTCTGTCCATCTCATTCATAGTCCCCCTTTAATTGGAATCTGTTGTTGGGTTGCCCCCATGTGACGAAAGTAGAAGGAATTGTCCCTTCAGATGGCCAGAGCTAGCAGATTACCAGGTCTTTTATCCCACAGACTTGCTGGGTGGGTTCAAACTGCCAATGGTTTCACCAATGGTTTGTTTCACATCCAAGCACTTAACTGTTGTGCCACCAGGGCTGGAGTAGGAAGGTGAGAATTCCACCATGAAACTATGATGTCCCGGTGTGGGGTGTGGATGGATCCATTCCAGCACCTAGCGACCCCATGTGACAGAGGCCAGCTGCCCCAGTGTCTCCTAGGCTCTCGTCGTCAGCGGCGGAACCCTGGTGTTGCTGCAGGTTGAGCGCTGGATTTGTAGCTACAAGGTCAGCAGTTCGAAATCACCAGCTGCTCTGCGGGAGAAAGATGAAACTATCTGCTTCCCTAAAGATCTCCTAAGGAGGCTCTCCCCTGTCACGTGGGATCGCTGTGCCCCAGAATCGACTTGGTGGCAATGGGTCTGATTGTGGTTTACATTCCAGGAGTCCTGGTAGTACTGTGCTTACGCACCCGGCTGCTAACTGAAGCGTGGGGCGTTTGTCAGAGAAGCGGTGCTGCGTAAGAAAGACCTGGTGACTTTCCGTAAGGACGACCACCTGGAAAACCCTGTGGGTAGCTACGGGGCAGCGTCCGCTCCATGGCACTGCTGTCTGTACCGGAGCAGGGCACTAAGTCTTTCTTCTGAAGCACCTCTAGGTGGGTTTGAACCACCAGCCTTTCAGTTGGTCGCTGAGTGCTTACACCCGTACCACCAGCGAACTGAGTTGTGGAAGCGCGGCCAGTGCTGGCCTCTGAGGAGGTCAGGACCAATTTCATGTCTCTGCTTCCAGGCGCCCTCCCCTGACCCCCACACTCTGCCTTCCAGGCCCCGCGCTCCGGCGATGGCCTCGGCCACCATCGTTCACGACACGTCTGAGGCGGTGGAGCTGTGCCCCCTGCACGGCCTCTACCTGAAGCCCATCACGAAGATGACCATCAGCGTGGCCCTGCCGCAGCTGAAGCAGCCGGGCAAGTCCATCTCCAACTGGGAGGTGATGGAACGGCTGAAGGGCATGGTGCATAGCCACCAGTTCTCCACGCTGCGCATCGCCAAGAGCACCATGGACTTCATCCGCTTCGAGGGCGAGGTGGAGAACAAGAGCCTCGTCCGCTCCTTCCTGGCCTGCCTGGACGGCAAGACCATCAAGCTCAGCGGCTTCTCGGACATCCTCAAGGTGCGCGCCGCCGAGTTCAAGATCGACTTCCCCACGCGCCACGACTGGGACTCCTTCTTCCGCGACGCCAAGGACATGAACGAGACCCTGCCGGGCGAGCGGCCGGACACCATCCACCTGGAGGGGCTGCCCTGCAAGTGGTTCGCCCTGAAGGAGTCAGGCTCCGAGAAGCCCAGCGAGGAGGTCCTGCTCAGGGTGTTCGAGAAGTTCGGGGAGATCCGCAACGTGGACATCCCCATGCTAGACCCATATCGGGAGGAGATGACCGGCCGCAACTTCCACACCTTTAGCTTCGGGGGCCACCTCAACTTCGAAGCCTACGTTCAGTACCGTGAATATGCGGGCTTCATCCAGGCCATGAGCGCCCTCCGTGGCATGAAGCTTATGTTCAAGGGTGAGGACGGGAAGGCTGTGGCCTGCAACATCAAGGTGAGCCAGCTGGCCCCTTAGCTACGGTCAGGGCGGGCGGGTGGGCTCCTTCCTGCACCTGGAGGAAACTGGACGTGGGCCAGGTGATACCCGTCTGGGGCGTTCTGGAAGGAGCTGTAGCCCTGAGGAGGGTCAGGACAGAGCCAGGGTCACCCTGTGTTGTTAAGTGCCGTCCACTCTGTTCTGGCTCAGAGCGACCCTGTATACGAGCGTCTGGTGGGTTTGGACCACCAACCTGTGGTTAGCTGGCCAGTGTGTGTCCTACAACGCCACAGCAGACTCTGTCATGGGTCTAAAACGGCACAACGTTTCTCATGTCACTATGGATTACTTGTTCTGCCAGAGCCAGAGCAAACCTACTGCCGATTCGGACACAGTGACCCTGTACAGCCGAGTACAATGGTCCCGCCGCGCTGTTTCCAAGACTGCCACATCCTTCACCCTCGGAAAGGCTAATGACCTTTTTGTCAGCAGCCAAGCAGTTAACCCCAAACAAATACAAAAACCCTCACCCAGTGCCATGGGGACCCTCCCTTGGAGACCCTGTATAGGGTTTCCGAGAATAAACAAACTAGTGCTGTGGGGTGCCTCCGTTGGAGAACCCTGTATAGGGTTTCCGAGAGTAAACATGAGCAGATAGCCTCATCTTTCTCCAGTGCAGCAGCTATGGGCTTCAACCTAAGACCTTTCCGTGCGCAGCCCAGCACGTAAGCCGCTATGCTCCCAGGGCTCTTGGTTTGAGTAGCCAGGATGATCAGACCTTTAGAAGGGGCCCGTCCTGTGAGTGCTCGGGTCTTGGTCAGGGGAGCCCTAGATGTGGAAGGAGAAAGTCATCTGATGGCCCTACTGCTTCATTTTAATGAACAGTGAAGCCAAGTTGGCTGTGATTCTCCATCTCCCGGGCTGTGATGTTTGTGGATGCAGACCACCGCAGGCTGTTCTCTCGTGGCGTGGCTTTGTGAGGCTGAACCAGCAACCTTTCGATGAGTTGTCAGACCACAGCCCCTCGGGAGCTTCTCGTGGGCCCACGCCCCATCCTCCCTAGACCCTGAGACACACTGCATCAGCGACACATTCCCCCGAAGGCTGCACCTCCGAGTTCCCGTTGTGCACCACCTCACTCTTCAGGCACGTTGTGGTACATGATTGTACCACACATAGCTGCTCCTGTCCCAGGCTCCCATCTGTAGGGGTGGAGATTGCCAGGACTTTCTTTCTTGGAGCCTCAGTGCTTAACTACTGCGCCACCAGAGCGCTGTACATTCCTGTGTGTATTCATCCAGGGATGAATACAAGCCGTCCCTGACTTAGGATGTAGCCAGACAGGAATGGGGGTTCTCAGATCTGTGTGAAAATGTGCCATACGAGTCCTGGGTTGGCTCTTAAGGGTAAGCGCTGGGCTGCTGACAGCAAGGTCCATGGTTGAAACCCCCAGCCGTTCCTTGGAAGCCCTATACAGGGTCGCTCTGCGTCAGAACCAACTGGAAGATACCTAGCCACAGGAGGTGTGTTACACTGCAGCTGGTTTTCGTACCCCCATTGCTATGTGACGTCAGACCAGCCGTTTACTACCTCCGGGGTCGTGGGCGAGAGTGAGGGTCTGAGTGGACCTGAGGGTCCGCGTCTCCACTCGGCTCTCCAGGGCCAGGTGGGCGATGCTCTAGAGCGTTCCTGAGGCCGGGCTTTTCTCCAGGTGTCCTTTGACTCCACCAAGCACCTGAGCGATGGCTCCATCCGGAAGCGGCAGCTGGAGCGGCAGAAGCTGCAGGAGCTGGAGCAGCAGCGAGAGGAGCAAAAGCGCAGGGAGAAGGAGGCCGAGGAGAGGCAGCGGGCCGAGGAGAGGTAGGGGGACGGGAGAGGCAGGGAGAAGGAGGC